ACCTTCCCACTCAGGCTCAGAGCATCGCTGGCACAGAAATGAGACAGCAGCAGCCTTTGGATGCCAGAAATGCCAACTTGTAAACTGCAGCCTCTTTCACAAGAACCAAAGCAAATAAGCACGTTTTACGGCTTTTGAATGCTTGAGGGCAGAATGACATAACTTATACTGTATGGTTGATATAATGCTCAGATGCTGCCACCACAGTTGGATGCTCAAATACTGAGCAGTGCAGATAATGGGCCGTGTCATTTTAAAAGGGATGATTAAAAAAATTGCTCTTTAATGGCTATCAAAGTGAACAGGCTTCATAATCATAAACACAAGCGAGAAAAAGACGAAACAATAATAATAAATAAGTGTTATTAAGCCCCAAGGCCTTAGTACACTATCAAATCAACGGCGGCAGTAAATGGCACATATACCGTATATATCCTTTTGAAAGGAAGTCATAACTCTAAGTAAAAACCTCTCCCTCAACTATTAACAAACAGTATATAAAAAAATTATAAGAGTAGACAATGGTATCTATTTTCCTGCATTATTAATAACTATTGTGTTTTCACAATAATTCAATAACGGAAGTGTTCACTCTTGTGTGTTCAAAGGAAAGCTGAAGACAGGATGCTATCTGTCACAAATATATTTTCTTCAAACAATACTGGATAAGGAAACTGCTGAGCATGCAGAAGACCTTGTCATTTTCAGGTTAACTCATAAATGTTATATAAGGGTCTCATGTTGTTTTTCCTCTCAGAGTACAAGTCTATTCTGACACAAATGGGTCAGTGCCTGGCTTTGATACCTCAGTTTATTAGACAGTGCTGAGCAACCTGTGAATTGGTGGCCTCACAAGTCTGAGATTGGAAAGCTTCTGACCACAGGGCTGTCAAACCCATCAACCTCTTTCCTGCCAAACCCACAGCAAGATTTGTGCAGCTCAACGCCTGCGTGCTCTTTATACTCACTAGAGAGATAGGTGATGGTTTGTTCTCCATGCATGACAGCACTTTAGTGAGTATCTACAGAATAGAGACACGCATGTATATCCATGTAAATGTAATGGTTTGTTACTATCCTATTTTTGTTCGCTGAAATCTGTCAATGCTAAAAATACGATTTTAAAGAGGACAAGAAAGTCCATTACAGCTACTGGTGTAAGTTATGCTCTATATTTTTGACAATTGGATTGTATCAGTGTTTTTCAGTCAGCTGACACTTAGCACAGGGAGCGAACAACTCCCGCTAAGGTTAAAGTTGGTCAAAATTCCTGAATAATCATATACTAATTTAGCGGACTCAAAGTATCCCATAATGTATTGTGAAAAGTAATTTATAACAGATGGCAAATAATAAGTACGGAAAACCATCATCATTGTGCTAGGAAAAAACGGATGAGTATGCTATATTGTTAGCAGGAGACTTTCCAGTGCTGCTAAGCTAACTTTAGGACTACAATTCTGGCTTGATTGCTTCTTTGACAATTTATTCTGCCTTTTTTTCAGACGCATAGGCCTACTGAATATGTGATGAAGTAAACCATAATAAAAATGAAGGGTAATTTAACTCGTTACTGGAGTTATTAAAACAGTCATTTTCAAAGATTGCTAACATATTTTAAATAAGTTGGCCAACACTGCCAACTTTCTGAATCAACCCTGGCCTGTTTGCACACACACATTTCCTGTGGAACAAAGGATTATTACAGATTTCATTTTATTTTCTAAACCACAAATTAAATGTTTCAATAATGTATCCAAATTCTCTCCTTTTCTCATGTTTTTTCTTCATTGAAATGAATATGCAATATACCCGGAGCTACTTCTGTGTTTTTAAATCTTTTTAAACAGAAATTATCGAAGTGAAGTTGTTATAAATTCCCTAAAAATTATTTGAAAAAATGATGCCACTCAGGCTTAGCAGTCACCCAAAATCGCTTTTGATATTACATTTGAGGGAAAGGATGGCATCAAAGTCTCTCAGGCTTGGCGTTCAGTAGACTCCTGCAGGAGCAGCTACATGTGCTGCTCTGTTTTCCCTTCTGGACCCGTCTGAATGATTTAAATGCCTCTGGATAAAAAAAGGTCTGGACGAGTGGAAGAGAATCAGGGCCACTCCTTGGGGCTGAACCTGACATATGGCAGAGGAAATGTTATTCTGTCATGCAGCACTGTGATAGAATATTCTCAAGCTGCCGGTATTGCATCGCCTTTGTGTCTCGGATCCGGTATTCTCCTGTTTTCGTCCATATTCCAAGTAGTATATTTTTCATTTTATTTCCCCATTTTCTCTGACACTCTATATACTCTTCCAGAAACTGCATATGTGATTTACGTCAACAATTGACTGTAACGAGCACTCAGATGATGCAGCTCTCAGGAGAATCCTGGTTTTAATTAAATATTGATTATTTCAAAGGGAGGTGGCACCAAAGTGCTCCTCAAATCCTTGTGATTTTGTTTCTGCTACTCTGAGTTATCCTGTTGAAGCCAGTCTGCACTTTACTCATTAATTTAACACTATCAGACCACGTCGGGACAACAACGAAGGCATCAAACGCATCGCTGGTCCATAGTTAGTGCGTTTGTGAAGCTCCTAATTCCAACCCATAGTTATTTTGTGAATGTTATGCACCCAAGAAATGTTGGCGGATCTATTTTTGTCACACATGCCGGTGGAAAAAAGTTGATTATAATATGCTTAACCAGGAATTTGGTTTGAATTGGAATCCATTTTCTTCCGCAAGCAGTGTATTAGAGGCCAACAGGGACACCGTAAGGTCTTTATTAGTATTCAGTGCTTCGCTGCCCAAGTGTCACCATGGGGAGGTTATTGAGATCTGCAGGGGCTTATACAACAGCCATTTATCAGTCTACGGAAAAATAGTCCACCATTACTTTTTTTTCCCCAGTAATATATTGTGCTGTCCAGGTGCCAAAAAGGGTAATGCTTTAATATGTTGCTCAAAGTGATTAAGACTGCCCTGTTTAGCACGTTAGCTAGAATAACTTAACCTTTAAAGGTGAAAGTTTCCGACTCGGTTTGTCTGATGGCTGTCAGCCTGATTTACGGAAAAAACTTCCCGCTCCATTTTAATGAAACTTGGAGGAAGGGTGTATTATGAGCCAAGGAAGAACCCATTTCATTTCTGAAGGGAATCTGATTTAGGGCACACAAACTATTCGGCACTAGTGTCCACACTGCAAGATGGAGCATTTAAGGCTGCATTCATGTGGTGTCGAAATGATTGGAAAAATTGGTCTGCGCTCTTCGAAGTGCCAGTCAAGTTGCTCAAATTCTCCAAAGAAAACATAATTGAGGGTGACCTCAAAGGAATCACAAATTCCACTGGCAGTTTTGCTCGTAAGATTTTTGAAAAATGCTTTTTAAAAAAAATGTTGGGAGGCAATAATTATTTTCAAAGGGACATCAGTGGTTTCCAGCGTTATGACTTAGGACCGCCTAAAACAAACCAAGACATTGTGCAGTCAATCGTCAGGTTGAAGCCTAAGTGTTGCTAGCAGTTCAACTGTAGAGTGGTTTAGATCAATGGCAAGGTAAATATCCACTGCTTTAATTGGAGAAAATGTAATTGGATGATCCAATAACCAACATGGGAACCATTGAGTAAAGATAAGAACCAAACATGTCAAGTACAATCATCTAAATCTGAAATGTTACATTCTATTCACCCAACTAGACAACAGACCCCGTTTCCGAACGACATTTGTCCGACAAACTGTTACGTTACCACACGTTTTACCTCATAAAAGCATGAAAAGGAGGCTAATCTGTTTCTTGCTATGTGTTTCTCTCACTGTATGATTCCCTTTCCCAAAGCTGTTGGATGTCACTGTTATGTGCTGATTAGAATCCCAACCAGCCCTCCTTTTCATTCCTTGTTTCAGAAGAGGAGGACGGTAGAGGGGAGGAGGGGGGGGGTGTATTTTGAATGGGAGCACCACAAAGCACGCCTTTTCATGGGAATTAATCCCCCTTTAGCTGAAGACCTCACCCACGGACCAGGGAAGCAAAGACCTGGAACTAATTACACTAACGAGTTCACCCTGATCGCTGTAATAACCACTGAGTGGAATCATTAACAGCCATTTAAAAAACATGCAACATGTACGTGCACTTGGACACACAGGGCTAAATAAACCAAATAAATATCTCATTGTCCCGAGAGAAACACTTCTATGAGCATGAAACAACAACTCTCCCTTGGGTAAGTCTTGCCTCCTCTTCAACACTTGTACCTGTGTGCACACACAAATAAAGCATGTTCAAGGCTTAGCAAATGTACACGGGGGGTGTGAGATTCCGGAAAAAAGGGCCTGAATGGAGGAGGAATTTAAATCTCAATGCATCGTTAGACTGGACACATCACGTTAGCATTCAGGCGCTGCCAGGTCGAAGGGATTCTGTGCCAACCTTGACGCTCAGAGAGAGTCTGACAATAAGCAGAGCTCAGGCTGCAGGGATCCGTCACAGAGTGAGGAGCAGGACTCACTCACACACAAGGACTCGTATTGGCTGGTTTGTGAAGCCCTCTGTGGGCTGGGAGATAGCAACAACAAGGGGTTGTGAGCAAAGACTGATGGAGAGCTTAATGGACGGCAGCACTCCCCTGTGGGACGGAGCAAAGTACATTACATCTGCTACAGAGAATTCAGAATTATGCAGCCAGTGCCATTAGTTGCAGAATGGATGCAACTTCCTATAAGGTCATAGAAAAAGAAAAGCAGCCAATGACGTACATGCAAGAACTCCCACATTTTTGCCACAATTTCTGCAGATTTGTATGAAACAAAAGCAACTCTCCTTTCCCCCTTTTTCGTGCTGACCTACATACAGTATGCATCCCATCCGTAATGAGGCTTCCCAACAAATACTTGTCCCGCTATAGTTTAGAACATCATTCATAAAAAAAAAAAATAGACCTTGTGTAGCGTCCCGCATGGTTTCTTATGTAACCTTGTGGCATTGTGTGGACTCACCGTAAAGAGTGAAAAGGCTGCTGTTCAGCTTATGTGGAGACTTTGTCCTTTGCGTCTCAAGCCCGGCCGTCCAGCATGGCAAGACTCCACTTGAATGTTATTCTGAAGCCCCCCTCCCGAGAGAGATGAATGGCACGGCAGTTTATTATTCCTTCCCCCTCTTCTAGGTCCCACTGTGGAAATGTACAGTCGTACAGCTTGTCTCCTTTGAGCAGGAACTGAGTCTTCTCGGCGGACAGCTCCGGTGCTGAAATCTTCCTCTCTCTCTTCCTCCACCCTCCTCCTTCCTGAGCTAGTGCCTCAGCATCTGAGGAGACACGCAGCGTGCAGGCTGTTGTAGACAGGAGGAGACTCAAAGGCGGCCACTGAAGTTCAATTTGGGGATTTATAAGCATCGTATTTCAGCCCCCTCCCCCTCCAGAGAGCCCTGCTGCGAGTTATAGTCATTGTAGGTTAACAACTTGTAGGTGCTCCTGGAGTGTGTTGATTGGTTGGAACCATTAAGGACCATGTCACACATGAATGTAATGATTTTGAGAATGGGATGTTGCTTTAATGTTGGAATCCTATTCAAGTCAAAACGTTTTTTTGTTTGGCAGCTGGGGTATGCTTCAAAGCAAAGACAGCCTGGAGTCAGAATTTAGCATGGCATGGAGGCATTTTATGCATGCAAAACTGCAGCCATGCAGTACAAATTAAATAAAGTGGGGAGAGTGCATGAAACATATTCAAATCTGCAGTAAAATATGTAGGCTAAATTGTGATTTTTCTTTTACATTTTGGGGTAAATTACACATTTGCGTTCAAATACACATAATTGGTGCAGTGTTTTCTTTCCTTTTTTTACCACAATTTCTAAACAATCTTATTTTATAAGCACAAGAGTGTTTATTTAATATCACCCTTCTATAATGTGATTAAAAAATATCAGCAAAGTTGCTTTTGGCAATCCATGCAGTCATCAGCAGATGGGATGCAATAAACTGGTGAATTATTATTTCTGACTTTTATGAGAGTAACCCATTCAATATAATGGAATGTTTTCAGAGCATATATATTAAATAAAAACAAATTTGTCGTGAGAGGTTAGTTAAACTTGCTAAAAAAAAATTGCTTTCATAATTTCCCCTTTCCGCTTATTATGTTTTGAATTTAATTTGTAAAGCCAGTACCAAAGATATGCATTTTTGTTTGATATTAAAGAGAAAAGAAAACGGCAACAGGTATTTCCAACACTCAAACTAGTATGTGTGTTGTTGTGCTTCTAATAAACACCTTAACAACTTCATATTTTAGTATGCATGTCGCAAAAGCTGCTAGAATAAAACAATATATATTAACCAAGTAATACTCACATCCAAGGCAAGGCACGTTTATTGACATTGCAGATTTCAACACAAGGCAATTCAAAGTGCTTTTCAAATAAACATATTTGACGCACAGTCTATAAAAAACAAATAGAACAAGCTAAAATGGAATAAAATGAGCATAAAATACAGGAATGGTTACAGTGCTGTTTACATCAGGCAGAGGAAAAATAAAAAAATGTATCATTCTTTTGTACTCATTAAGAAGTAACTAAAAGAATAACTAGAACACAAATATGCTGGACTAGGTATAGACAGCATAAATGTTCTAAATGTACGTTCAATAACAAAAAATTCAAAACTATACTTTAATAACCTCTGCTTTGCATGTGTTGCAAAACACATTCTTCCTGCCTGGCATCAGTCCCTCATCAAATTGATTTACATAAAATGACATCTGTGTGCCAAAATGATAAATATTACTCCACAAGGAGAATATACATCTGTGTCAGCATTTTTTTAAATACAATAAGGCCATACAGGAAATTACGGAATAAATGTGTTTGTCCTTGCAACATAATATATAAAAATCAGAGAATAGATTAAATATAAAAATGGTAGAAATGTAAAAATGCTGAGTCGGCATCATTACAGTGGGCTCTCCATTGTAGGGTATTTGGTTAATATGAACAAATGGTTTGCACCATGTCCCACTGTGTTGTTCTACGGCCTGCTGGTTCAAATGGAACGCCATGCATAATGGATGAAGGCGTAAGTGCACACGGACCCAATGGTCTTGAGGGAAGAGGAAGAAATGGTACGGTAAGGTATGTCACAATGGAAACCTGACCCCCTCACCTGCATGCCTGTGACACTTCTTCCCTGTAGTCACCTCTGCGCTTTGAAAAACGAATAGGATATACGATTTCCCTTCCACGTTGGATATATTGTGTTAGGCTACTATGGCTCCTTGAACAATGAGAAGAAAGAGAAGAAACTTGAAAGATACTTCAGGAATTTGAACTTAACTCTTTACATTTTCACTGTTTCATTGTTGGGAATGTTTACCATTGGGCACTTTGGAATGTACATAAATGAGTCAAAGTGTTAAAAAGGCCCCATTGTGTTTTTTGGGTTTTAATTTCCTCTAGTATGGGTTTTTTGTGCATGTAAATGGTCTGCAAAGGCTAAAATTCCAGAGTCCCCTAGTTTCTCTTCCACACACACAATGGACATTGGACTCCTTTGTTTATTTTCGTAACTTAGTAACATCACTATGTAAAACTGACGCTTCTATTGGCTAGCACTCCAACACATTGTACGTGATAGGCTAAGGGGCAGAACATTTCCAACACATCTCTAAGCGGTTGACCAATCACAAAAGAGCCGGCCAGCTAACCAATCATACCTCATTCACACCAACGCAACTCCGGTTCAAGCTCTGTGCTAGAGCTTTTCAGGTTCAGAACCGGTTCTTCGGTTTAGCTCCGGCTCTTTTCACACTGCCCAGAGTAGACTGGTGCTGCGTCATTGCATCATCGTTTGCG